CCAGGAGGCTATCTCAAGTTACTGGAGTTGGGACTTGAAGGTATATGTTTGATATTTTATTTATTAATTGTCCTTGATTACTGTAACTCATAACAATTTTTTTTTGATAGAGCACATAACGGAATTAATTCTCCGAGTCTGTATTTTTCTAATTGCAGATTGTGTGGAGGAAATTGACGCTCAGCAGATATTTGGTTATGCTCTTTTCAAGGATGGGAAACATACCCGACTTTCTTACCATTTAGAAAAGTTCCACTCAGATGTTTCCGGTAGGAGCTTTCACAATGGGCGTTTCATTCAGAGGATGCGGAAGAAATCAACTTCCCTTCCAAAGTATATCTTTTCCCCTTTTTCAGATATTAATGAGTTGATTATTTGTTATGTTTCTCACATTCATTGAACAAACAGTGACCTATATTCATACTTCAATATTATGAAAATATTCAACTGCCTAATGTAGCATTGTGGGAAAAAAATAGTAATTCGTTGTTAAGGTATTTTTGCCTTCTTCCCTCCATTGGTTTACCAGTGTACATTTAGAGCAAGGGACAGTTACTTCTCTACTTGAAGAGAAAGGGATAATCCGAGGAATGCAGTACAAAACTAAAGATGGTAGAAAATTTACTGCATTTGCACCTCTGACCATTGTATGTGATGGCTGTTTTTCGAACTTGCGCCGCTCCCTTTGCAACCCTAAGGTGATTTGTTCGGCGCATATTTCTCTTCTTATTCCCTTTTTTCCAGTTGTTTTTTCAAAGTTAAACTACTATGGCCTCAATTACACTCCGTAGGTAGATGTACCTTCTTATTTTGTGGGATTGGTCCTTGAGAATTGCCATCTTCCATACTCAAATCATGGACATGTTATACTAGCAGACCCTTCCCCCATCTTGTTTTATCCAATCAGCAGCACAGAGGTTCGCTGTCTGGTTGATGTACCTGGTCAGAGGGTTCCTTCTATTGCAAATGGTGAGATGGCAAACTATCTCACGACCGTTGTGGCTCCCCAGGTATTTAAAATATTTCGGGTCTGCACATTTGAGTTCCTTGTAGCTTTATTTGTTTCTGTTGTTCTTTTTGCTCACGATATCTGAATTCGTATTTAAGGAGCTCTTGGATTGTCAATATGCTGCATATCTAACAGGTTCCCCCAGAAATATACGATCCATTTGTAGCAGCCGTCAATAAGGGAAATATTAGGACAATGTCAAACAGGAGCATGCCTGCTGCTCCTCATCCCACACCTGGAGCCCTATTGATGGGATATGCATTCAACATGCGACATCCATTAACCGGTGGAGGAATGACTGTCGCTTTATCCGATATTGTTGTCCTCCGTAATCTACTAAGGCCTCTATGTGACCTCAATGATGCACCTACCCTTTGCAAATATCTTGAATCCTTTTACACCTTGCGGAAGGTTAACTATATATTTTTGATATGTTCAGATTCCATAACCGCATTGTCGAAATCTTGAATTCAAAAATTAAACCAAACTCAACTCAGTGAAACTGATTCGAATTTCATGTTTTGCAGCCGGTGGCATCAACAATCAATACCTTAGCAGGCGCCTTGTACAAGGTATTCTCTGCTTCCCCTGATCAAGCAAGGAAGGAAATGCGACAAGCTTGCTTCGATTATCTAAGCCTCGGCGGTGTATTCTCGACAGGACCTATCTCCTTGCTGTCTGGTTTAAACCCTCGCCCGTTGAGCTTGGTTCTACATTTTTTTGCAGTGGCAATATATGGTGTTGGTCGTTTACTATTGCCATTCCCTTCACCTAAGAGAATCTGGATCGGACCTAGATTGATCTCAGTGCGGATCACTATCCGAACCCTCCCATTTTGTTTAATTTCGTCTTTTGGCATTACAGATTATTTATCTAGCTATGGAGTGATGTTATGTATGGTGCTTTGCAGGGAGAATCAGGAATCATCTTCCCCATTATCAAAGCGGAAGGAGTTAGGCAAATGTTTTTCCCGGTGACAATTCCTGCATATTATAGAGCTCCTCCAGTTGTTAAGTGAGACAACAATTTAGCTATGACCTGTATGTTAATTATTTAGGCTTTTCGTAAGTTTTACATTTTTCCTTAAAAATGAAGAAGATAGATTCAAGTATAATCATGTTTTGCGAGAATGGTGGAATTAGTCGTAGTTTTGTAATGTTAATTAACTACGTGCCTATAAATTAAACTACTGCTTCGGGTAGAAGCAGATTTTTGTATTTTTCAAGATGAAATAATCACACATATTTAAAAAAAATCAAAGCATTAATATAATATAATATAATAAAATAGCATGATTATACTATAAGTAGATGAAGTAATTTATTTATTTTATTAATATGTGGTCAATACTATAATATTTTAAACATTTTACCTTTATTTGAGTTCCTGAAACTTTATGCTACTTATTAAATAAATTAATCGAAAATTTAAGGGACGAAAATGAATTATCAATATAAAATATAAATAAAATATCTAAAATATATGATAATTTAAAAATTTTAATCAACGCTTACTATATTCATTGTCCAAAAATGAATTAAGAAGTACAAGACTGAAACCATCTTCTTTCCAAAATAATCACATGTAGAAAAGAAATTTAACCAACAACATTAGAGACACCAATTTCTCCTCTGGTTTCCACTAACAAGAAGATGGAATAATAGTAATGCAAGTATATGAAATGTAGATGTTTAGGTAGGGTCAAGTTTTTAACTATTCAAATGGTATATTATCCAAAGGAAATCCAGATTCCTTAACTGAACCATTAATGAGAAGGTAACAGTGACGATTTTCATGTATCTTCCAACGGATGAAAAACCGCTCTCAAAATCTACAACTGTTTTATTGAAAAATGATAATATAATGGAAAGGATTTCTTATTTAAAAATAATCAGATAAAGATATTAGATAAACTTAAATAGTAACGTCTTAAATTTAATAATTGAAGAAGTATTACGTATATTAAACCATTGTGAAACATCTTTTTTTTCATTACAAACCTTTCACAGAGATGCAATTGTTTGGGTTGGATTGGGTCGGGTCAGGTCGGACTTTTGATCAACTCGATTTGATCCAAGAAATATATACTCTCTATTTGATATGACTCGAAGAGTATATTTTCTCTACCTAAATTTGATTCAACTCGAATTTTTATAATATAAACTCGATCCAATCCAATCCGACCTGTTATAAAATAAAGACCTAATTAAAAACTTTTATAGAGGTGATGCTCGCCGCCAGAATTTGAGAGGTCATCACAGAGATGTTTCCCCTCGTATCTTCATCGACTTCCCTAGCATCGGAGTCAATCGATGATATAGACATCGGAGATTTCGTATCAAAGGGACCAAAGCGGAGCATACTACATCAACTTATAATATATATAGGGATGGACCTAGAAGGGAGCAGATGCCCCCAAAAAATTCAAATTTTTATATATTTTAGATGTTTTATTTATATTTTCTATCGAAAATATATTTTTATTCCGTTAAAACTTTATAAATTGTCTTCTACTCAAATTTTTATAAATTCGTCCCCTAACATTAAATCATCGTATTTCGTCCTTGAATATATACACACGAAATATAATAAGGGTTGTGTTATACTTCCCACATTCATTCATTATTTAACTCATCATTCTCTCTCTCGTCTCAATTCATTCTTTTTTTACTTTTATATTATATATTGCTATTTTCCAATTTCTTATATAAAGATAATTTTTAATATATTATAAAATACATTTCAACAATGACCATTTTTATATAATATTTAAACTAAATAGAATATTAAACTTTTAATTAGAAGAAAATACATTTAACACGTTATTATCAACTAAATTAATATTCATTTGAAAATAATTATCGCATTTAATAGAACATTGCATATTAATAATTGGTTCACATCAAATGCATCTCACATGTATCATGCATGATGTATCAGTCAATTCTTAGGGTCTATCATGCATCAATATTTTATTTTAATCCTTGAACACATCACTTATGGGAAAAGAAAGGCATGAAGGAATCAACAATATAAAAAATAAAAGTTGTCAATTTATCAAAATTAAAAATTACATTGAAAAATAGTCAACAAAATAATACCGCATCAAATATTTGATATTTAAAGTTAAAAATTAAAATTTGAAATACAAAATTGAACATAACTAAAAAATGTAGAGTTCAAACCTTAATACTTAAGATTTATATATTTTTTAATAGTTTAGGATGCGAAATTTTATATTAGATGAATAATTTTTTAAAATTTTAAAGGAACAAAAATATAATATTAATAAAAAAATATAAAATTTTTAAAATATATTATATTAAAATATTGAGGGATGATTGCCTCTAGCCTCCCATTTGATGCATCCACATCTAGAAGTGATTAAAATATTTGTTTAGATTTATTTTAACTATTAATATCATACTTTACAAATAAAATTATTCAAACTCGAATATTCTAAAAAGTGTCTTATCACTTAAATTACTTAATAATATTGGAAAGTTAATATTTCTTTCGTTTTTTTAACATACCTCAAAAAAGCCGTTCTATGCGTTAATTTGTTTTTCTTTTGTTGTAACTTTTATAATCTAAAATAATTTCTCAAATAATTAAATTCCTACAACTCTGATTCGTCACCGGCAGCGACTCCACTTTAGATAAATTAGGCCGCGAAGCACACTAACAAACCCTCAAATTTGCGTATGTCGAGCGTAGCCAACCAAACCAAACGAAAAAGGAATCGAAGATGCCCCTCTCACAATGCCGCCTGATTTGTCGCCACGTGGCACTTCCGTCGCTATCGCGGTTAAAAAAGTCGTTTCTCTTTTTTTTTTTTTTTTTTTATATTTCCCGAAATTAATTCAAAATTTAATTACCAAAAAATCCACTCTTCTAAACGTGGCTTTGGCTGGAATGTTGTCAGTTATAATAAGCAAGAAAACATTTTAGCGCGTGTAATTATCGTTTGAATTGCTTTTCCATCTTCTGAAGAAGGCTGTTGATTATCTTTCTCTTCCTGTATATTGGGTCGAATTTTATTTCTTTTTGTTTTTTATTTGAAGTTAAAGAAAAAACATAGCATTTGGCGTATAAGTAATAAACTCAAAATTTTCCAAGCATTTGGTTTCCTACTTTTTAAGCGAATACTTTTGCTTCGGAATCTCATTGCGTTCGTTTTGGCAACCTTTTCGAAGTTCTTACGCTTTATGGGGTTCTGATATTTGCCCAGGTACTTTAGTTTATATAACAGTTTTTTTTTCAATTGGTTTAATTTAGTTCGAGTTTCCGTCTTGGACTAGTTGTTAGGAGCATTTTTGGTTTTAAATTTGATTTGTTATTACTTTAGGTTCTGTATAATCTTTTTTCTTGGAACTATAGAAATGAATTAAAAGAAAATTTTGGAAAGTTAATCAGACAGGAAAAATATAGTTTAGAATTTTTGTTAGCTCTATTACTAGAAAGGAAAACTATTATTAGGGTTTTTGTTTATTTTTTTTGAAGTTTGATGATGTTTTCCATATGCGTTTAGTTTAAGCATTGTTATTCTTACTTATATTCCCAAATCAATTTTGCAGCACTTGATTCTGTGCCAGATTGAGCCAAACTTCTTTCTACATTAGTTATCATGGAAAGAAAACTATGTTTTGAGCAAATTGAAAGTTATATTTATGTCCTTGCTCCGTTAAGTGCTTTAGTTATTGAAATTTCTAAAGCTTGAATAAAAGGATATAGGGAACTGAGATGGACATTGGGGCTCTTTTAACTTCTGCCGGAATCAATATAGCTGTATGTGTTGTGCTGCTGTCATTGTATTCCATATTGAGAAAACAACCGAGCAATGACAGTGTGTATTTCATGCGGAGGCTTATTTCAGAAAAAATAAAGCCTGATCCTCTCGGCCTTGAAAGACTTGTGCCCTCTGCGAGCTGGATTGTGAGGGCCTGGCAAGCAACCGATGAAGACGTATTGGTTGCTGGTGGTGTGGATGCTCTAGTTTTCTTGAGAATAGTTGTTTTCAGGTGATTAAGTTTTTCTACTAAGTTTCTCCAAAATACTATGCTTGCAATTATATCCAAAAACTTTTGAAGTGCTTTCCTGTTTCAATTATGGTTGGTCGGTGTCTGTTTTCTCTTATGCTGGTTTACTAACTGCACTTCCATTTTCCTCCTATTCTTTACAGTATTCGTATATTCATCATTGCTGCTGTGATATGCGTTTTTCTAGTGCTTCCAGTAAATTATTATGGACAAGAAATGCAGCACAAGAAAATCGGTGCAGAATCACTGGAAGTATTTACTATTGGAAATGTAAAAGAAGGCTCAATATGGTATGATAACTGGACCCATTATCATGATGGGATAGTTGCTTTAGTTTCTTCTTACTATGAAATGTTGTTTGGAAGCTACAATGTTGAACCATGAATGGAATTTCGACTTGTGATTCCCTGTAGGATTCTACTTTACAATGTTTTGTTTTTGTTTATTATCTATTGTACATCTATAAAATTCCCAGGAGAGATCTAATTAAGATTGATTTCAAGAACTAAAAGCAATGACTTTTTAAAGTTTTCTGTTCCACTAGCTGCGCTTCTTCAGGCCGAGATATTAAGATGCAACTCCAACATAGTGGTTTTGTGGCCAAATAGATTGGATAAAATCAACTATTTATTGATTGTTTCTTTTGGTTTTACAAATATTCCAGGTTTTGGGTTCACTGTCTTGCTTTATACGTCATATCCTGCTCAGCTTGTGTTCTACTTTACTTTGTAAGGATTTGCATACTGAAATGCATTATTTACTTATGTATGGTTTGACTTTTACTGATGCATTCTTAAAACTTCCTCTAGCATTCATTTATGATTACTGCTTTGCTATAGGAGTACAAAAGCATCACTAAAATGAGATTAGCACATATTACTGGATCTCCTGTGAATCCAAGTCATTTCACAGTTCTAGTCCGTGGCATCCCGTGGTCTCGGGATCATTCATACAGTGAGACGGTAGAACAATTCTTTTCAACTTACTATCCAGCAAGCTATGTGTCCCACCAGATGGTATATCGAGCTAGTAGAGTTGACAAATTAATGGTACGCATTTATCTCGAGTGACTATATTAGGATGTAAATATATATGATTTATTCATTTATCTTTTTTTTAGGGGAAGGGGAAAGGGGTTGTTCAAGGACTGAATCCAGGACTAGTGTCAATTGAAAACTTAATATCAAGTCTTTTGCCACTCTGTGGTTCAGTCGAAATATGAGTTTTTTTATTTGAAAAGGCTTTAATTTTTAAAATTTCATTAGTATCTTTTTGTTGAAGGAAAAAAATGACTTAGCTGGTTTTGCTGTAGTGCAGTTATTATACTTTATTGACGTCCAATGAATGAATTTGGTGTTCATCTGAGGTGGATGTTATTTGTGTTGACAAATAATTGCTGCTTTTTGTTTATCATTTTGTTACATAGACCAAATAAAGTGGTTTCTTTATGAAACCTGTGAAAAGTAAAAGATAATTTATCCATTGCATTACCACCCTTCGATAGGTAATCTTGATTTTCTCAAATTTGATTTTGGAACCGTGTTTTAAATCTTCACATCATCGACTTTGTTTAGTGTTATTGTACACTTATGACTTCCTACCACTTACCAAATAGTAGTTACCAACCTGATGTTGGTTCTGGTGCATTACATTTAAGTTGAATTTTCCAATTTCTCATTTTTATTTGCTTGTCTTGACTAGGGTTTCTTTTTAGTTGAACTGAGTAATTTCAAAATTGAGTCAGAAAAAAAGCATCGAAATGAGTGAGAGAGTCAGAAAAGAGGAGAGAGAAAGTGGAAAAGGTTAGTCTTCCTCCGGTGAGAGTTGGACTGTTTTCGTTGACAACCTTAGCAAGAGAGTATCTAGATGTGAGTTGAGGAATATTTTTCTTAACCAGGGTCATGTGGTGCGAGTCTTCGTACCAAATGTGATGAACAAACCTAAGTATAAATCTTCCACATTCGCCTTTATTCAGTTTAGTAATGAGACAGGAATGAGGAAGGCAGTTGAAAATATAAATGGGTTGTGGATAGATGGGAGGAAAGTTTTTGTTGGAGTCGCAAAATATCAGAAAGATAGTCTAAGGGTTGATGGTACATCTCGGTCATTAACTGTTGCTCAAGGAAAGGTCACAGAAAGGAAATTTAAACCTCGTGATGAGGCCAAGATTCCGAGAAGTACAAGAGACTATAGATCATACAAAGATGTCTTGTTGTCGAGTAGCACGCAAAAGTGTCATTCGGAGCAAATGGGAATTAGAGATGATAGTTTTGACAGGGGAGGGGGAAGAAGAATATTTGGGAAATGCATATTCCCACTGAAAGTTCAAACTGGGTGAAAAGATCTCTTACGAGTATTGTTAAACTTAATTTCGATCTGGAACTGGTTCAAAGAGCATTGGCAAATGAAGGTTTTGAAGTTCAAGTTGCGAGCTGGGGGTATATATGGAATGCCTGTGTTGTTACATTCAAATCTGAGGAATTGATGAAGGAGGCATGGTCGAGTAAAAGTGAGGAGTTACGGTTCTGGTTCGACCGGCTGGCACCTATGTTGAATGAAGGTGTAGTGCCAATGGCTTATTGTCTGGTTGAGTTGTATGGTATTCCTCTACTATGTTGGCAAGAGAATTTTCTGGAGAAGTTAGCAAGAAGATGGGGTTTAATGGAGGGTATACACCATTCGAATAAAACTAGGGAAGATCTCACGACCGTAAAAATTTTGCTTAGGGTGGCAAGTCCGTTTGACGTCCCGGAAGTGTTAACTTTAGGATCATATGGAAGATCATTCAAGGTGACTTCTAAGCTGGGTTCTACTTCACAGGCTTCAGATTTTTTTTCTTGATAATTCGCTGGAAAAATTTTCCGATGAAAAATGCACAGTCAATCACATGACAGAGGAGGAAGATGACAACACACAATTTTCTGACATGTCAGGGCCTATTCGACTTGTTGAGGAAGCTCGTCAGAAAGTGGATATTTGGTTTGATCAGGGAGCGTCTGCTGGGTTTGGTGTAGCAAGTAGAGAATTACAGTTTCCAATAAAAAGCTTGGAAGGGAAAGGTATTAATGAAGGAGTGTCAGTTTTTCCAAGTTTGGGGAGTAGTAAAAAGGAAGAATTTGATGGGCTGGGCATTAGAAACAAGGAGGAAGGAAAAAGAAGCTCACATGCCCAATCAGAGAGGAACAATGCACCTTTATCTCCTATTAAAAGATTAATTCCTGTTGGCCCAGCAGTTAATATTTTTGGGCTCGGGTATGCAAGTCAAAAAAACATTCATAGCTCCTCAAACAGATCAGGGGATGAAGACAAATCCAAGGATAGTAAGTGTTTTATGTCAATAGAGGTTGGTAATAAGGATCCAACAGGGAACGTTGTTGAAATGGGGTCTGATGAAGATTTAAAGATGTTAAGTATAAGAGTTGGTTCTCATACTCGTTCTGAGAGCTCTTTATCCATGGAAAGTGCCCCGGTTGGAAGAAAGTTAATTAAAAGTCACAAGAGAGTTTATAGTAGGTCCAAGGAAAGGAATATATGGTTGGATATTTCAGGAGGGGAGAGCATTATTAAGTTGGATAGGGCTTTGATTCCAAGAGGATATCATTCTGATTTTGTGGAGGCTGCTGATTTTACAGAAGGGGAAACTGATGGTTCAAGGGGGAGGAGGTTCAACAGGAGATTTAAAAGAGCCCTCATTAGGGATGCTTTAGATCATGCTGCTGCTTCTACAGTGTCCTCATCAGATTTCACTTTGCTGTTGGAGGAAGCTATGGCTACATGGGAGGAAGCTATGGCTACATGGGAGATTAGCAGGATTTTGGGTATATCTTTTAAGGAAGGGAAGAATGTTTTTCTTCAAAAAGTTTTGGATTTGGAGAAAGGCTTGAGTGGGGCTTCCTGAGTTCGTGGGTTAATCCTGGGATTGTTTTTGGTATTGTCAAATAGAAATATGATGCCAAAGCTATGTATGTTGTCTTGGAATGTTAGGGGGCTGGGTAAAAAAGAAAAACAGAGAGCAGTTCAAAAAATAGTTTCTGAGAAAAAACCAATGTTTCTTTTTTTACGAGAAACAAAACTTGAGATTTTACCAAGATCTTTCTTAAGGAGAAGTGGGTTGAATAAGTTGCAAGGGGTCGTTGAATCACCAGCAACAGGTTCTTCAGGGGTATTTTAAGTTGTTGGGATGATAGTTCTTTTGAGAAAGAAGATCAGCATGTTCACAGGAGGTTTATTGTTGTTTTTGGGAAGTTCAAGTCCAACCAATTTAGATGTGGTTTCATAAATGTGTATGGTTCATCTGTGGAAGAAGAAAAAACTGGGTTTTTTGAAGAACTGGGACTGTTTTTAAATGGGTTCAGCATTCCTTTTTATGTGGGAGGGGACTTCAATGCCTATTTAACAGAAGAAGAGAAGGAGGGTCGTACTCAGAACAGGAATTCTATGGAAATCTTCAGTCTTTTTATTCAGCAAACGGGGCTAATTGATCTGCCTTGAATTGGGGGGAATTTTACATGGAGCAGCAACCGGGATTATCCCACTGTTGTCAGACTTGACAGGTTTCTGGTTAATGTTAGTTTCTCTGCAGCTTTTTCTAGTATCACTCAATCATTATTACCTAAATCTATCTCTGATCATAATGCATTAATTTTGGAGAGGGGTAGATAACTGGGGTAAAAGACCTTTTAGGCTGTTTAGCTATCTTATGTCTGAGGAAGGTTTTGAAGAGAAGATTACAGAGTCCATAAAGAAGTTCAGGAAGGACAAGAAAAAAGTTGGTATTTTGAGTATTCTTAAGAATACAAAGGTCGCTATTAAGAGTTGGTATGGGGATAGGAAACAGTTTCCACGTGATGATATCTCTGCTCTAGAAGACAAAATTCATCAGCTGGAAAATCAGTTTCAACAAAACCAAATTTCCATCGATTATGGTAGTTCAACAGAGTTGAGGCTATTGAGAAATGAGCTTTGGAGACTATACAGAATTGAGGAACAAATATGGTTCCAAAATTCAAGAGAGAAGTGGGTTAAAGATAGAGACCGGAATTCTAAATTTTTTCACACATGTGCCACTATTAGGAGGAGGATGAATTCTTTGAATGCTATTAATGTTGAAGGTGAAGTTATCAAAGATCATGTTCTTATCAAGTCAGCTGTTAGAGAGCATTTTTATAAGGCTTACAATTGTAGTTCAACTTTGGAAGTGGAGGATATTAAGTTGAGTTTTTCAAGAATTTCTATGGAGCAGAGTCTTATGCTAGAAAAGGAGTTTACGGAAGATGAGATTTGGGAAACCATAAACTCGTGTGATAGCAACAAAGCTCCTGGACAGATGGCTTGAATATGGGTTTTTTTTAAAGAAATTATGGCCCTCTTTGAAAGGTGATATTCTGAAATTTTTCCATAACTTTTACTTGGGAAAAGATTAGGAGCATGGCATCAATCATTCTTTCATTACTCTCATTCCAAAGGGTTCTAATATTGGGGGGCTTGACGATTTCAGACCTATTAGTCTAGGACGGATGTATAAAATTTTGTCCAAGTGTCTCTCGAGAAGGTTAAGAGGTTGCATTGATGATATTATTAGTGATTCACAATATGCTTTCATTCCGGGTAGACAAATTTTGGATTGATCTTTTATTGCTAATGAAGGAATTGATTTGTGGCGGAAGAAAGGATTGAAGGGTTGTGTGTTTAAGGTAGACTTTAAGAAGGCTTATGATACGATTGATTGGGATATTCTCTTTAAAGTCATGACTAAAATGGGGTTCGGATCGAAGTGGTGATGTTGGATTCGGAAATGTGTCACAACAGCCTCGGTGTCAGTATTAGTTAACGGAGTACCTACGGATGAATTTGTTATGGCGAGAGGACTTAGATAGGGGTGTCCTTTGTCTCCGTTGCTGTTTAATTTCGTTGGAGAGTTACTTAATTTACTGCTGTTAAAGGCAGTAATTGCGGGTTTGTTTTCTGTTCTGGTTGTTGGCAAAGATGAGACTTCTTACAATTTATCTCATCTGGAATTCGCAGATGATCTAATAATTTTCTGCTCTGCATCGAAGACACAAATTCTGAATGTTAAGAGGGTTCTACGGGTTTTCGAAATAATATCAGGCCTCAAACTGAATCTTACTAAAAGTAAACTATTTGGTATTAATATCAGTGAGGAAGAGGTATTGCAGTGGGCTAATGCAATTGGATGTTCAGTCGGGCATTTCCCTTCGGAATATTTGGGACTGTCGCTTGGTGTTAAGAGAAATTCTACTTTGATGTGAGATCCGGTTGTGCATAAGTTTTACAAAAAGTTACCCGAATGGAAGGCGAAGACTCTGTTAATGGCAGGGAGAGTGATCTTATTGAAGGATGTTTTGTGCTCTTTACCCATCTATTTCATGTCATTGTTTAAAATTCCCTCTTCGGTGATTGTTAAACTTAATTCCATCATGGCCAGATTTCTATGGGGAGGAGGGGTAGAGGTAAAGAAAATTCACTGGATTAATTGGTCGACAGTGTGCTCTGCTAAAAGTGATGGGGGTCTTGGTGTTTTGGATCTTAATTATATGAATAGAGCTCTCCTAGGAAAATGGTCGTGGAGGTTTGCTAACGATAGAGAGTCAGTGTGGAAGAGGGTTATCTGCTGTAAGTATAATCTGGACATTAGATCTCTGTTGTTCAAGGATAAATTTCCTGCACATGCTTCTTGGATTTGGAAATCGGTAGTTCGAAACCATTTCAAAGAGGATCAGTTTGGAGATAAGTTTCGAAGTCTGTTTAAAGCACGGGTGGGGAATGGAGAGAGTATCAGTTTTTGGTTTGATTGTTGGGCGCTTGATTTCCCTCTTAAAGTAGTTTTCCCGAGACTGCTTGTTCTGTCTTTAAACAGGAATGGGAAGCTTAAGGAGTTTGGAGAGTTTCGGTTATCAGTTTGGTCCTGGCATGTGCAATTGAGAAGAAATCTAAGTGACTGGGAGCTGGAACAATTTTCTGATCTTATGGCGATAATTCACAATATCACTATTTCCCATGATTTGTCAGATGGGTTGATTTGGAAAGGGAATGGGGAAGGTATCTATTCTGTCAAGTCCAATATGAAGTCTTGCTGTCCTGTTTCGACAACAGACTCCTTTTGGATGAGATGTATTTGGAGAGGTTTAGTGCCTCCTAGAGTGGAGGTCTTTATGTGGCAGGTGGTGTATAATAGATTGACAGTTAAGCTAGAATTACAAAGGAGAGGAGTTTTAGCTATTGTTGATGTTGCATGCCCGTTTTGTAAAGAAGAGGTTGAATCTTCAACACATTTATTTTTCACTTGCACTGTGGCATAGAATATTTGGAATAAATTTCTGAAACTTTGGGGGGAGTGTTCGGTTTTGCAGGATAATGCTCAAAGTTTTATAGTAGCTTGGGAAGAAATGGTCCTTAATTCTAAAATTTGGTTCTTTATTCCGGGAGTGGTTCTATGGACGATTTGGAAAACTAGGAATGACATTGTGTTCGATGGGGGAAGAGTAGATCAGATGGAGTTATTTTTTATGGCAAGATGTAGGTTGGCTACTTGGTTCTTAGCTAAATTCAATGAAGTGGCTATTCTAAAGGACTCTCTCATTTCTGATCCAACTCTTGGGGACTGTTGTTCTAATCCAAGGCTTTCGATCATCAAAATTGTGTCTTGGTCTCCTCCTCCAAAGGTTTTATAAAATTGAATGTTGATGCAGCAGTGAATGGAGATTGGAGGAAAAGTGGTGTTGGGGGCATTCTAAGAGTTGAGGATGACTCGGTGATGGGTTCTTTCCAAGAGGCAGCTGGTCCAAGTCCACCTCTGTTGATTGAGATTATGGCAATAAAGAAGGGCTTATCTTTCTTCGCTTTGATTCATCAGAGGTTTAAAGAACGCTTAATTGTTGAATCAGACAGTAAACTAGCAGTGGAGTGGGTCAAAAATTATGATTGTTGTCCTTGTGTCTATAGAGTCTTTGTGAAAGACATTGTTATTCTGTTAAGAGATCTTAATGGTATTATTAGACGGGTTCCTAGATCAGCCAATGTTGAGGCTGGCCACTTAGCTAAAGTTGGTATTGGCTAGTTACGCAGCTTTCTATTAGGCTTTAGTTAGGATTTGGGTTGATTATTGTAAAGGGTGTGTTTTGTTTTTAAACATTATGTATCTTTTGGTTTTTAATGAATTAAGGCACTCTTTTCCTCCTTCTGCTGATTAAGGAGCACTTTGTGCTCCATTAATCATGAAGGGGGTTTTTAACGAGGCCTACCTTCTTATAAAAAAAAGTAATTTCAAAATTAAATGTGTATTTCACCTACTCTATGCTCATCTACTCTGCTATGCACATGCAATGTTCTGTTTGTTTTATAATCTTTAACAAGTTCTATGTGTATTCTCTAACAATATTGTCTTTGCAGAAGGACGCAGAAAAGATGTGCAGAATGCTAAAAACCATTGAATTGCAGAACAGAGAGAGTTATATGCCATCTTGTCTTAGTGGTGGAACTACACATTCCTTTACGTCACTTAACATTAAACCAGAAAGTTTTAAGAGTAAAACATGTGGTGATGGGCTGCAACCAAGTCAAAGTGAAAAGCTTGAAAAGGTTGAAAATCTTGGAATAAGTTTAGTCTAATACTTTTGATTTCTGGGTTATAGTAATATTATCTATAGTTTATGTATTCCTGTAGAAATCAGAGTAATTCTCTGTAATTTCTTATTCTTTTCAATATGACAGATTACATATTTATATACAAAATCTCTCTCTAAAGTAGGAAGCTCTAAGAAAGGAAAAATAATAATCTTAAGATATGATCCCTTAAAATAAGGGATTATAGAAATCTATTTACAAAATCATATCTCTACAGGAATGGTAACAAATCATATCTCTATAGGAATGGTAACAAATCATATCTCTATAGGAATGATAACAAATCATCTCTATAATTCCTACACTCCCCCTCAAGCTGGAGAATATACATTGTATAATCCCAGCTTGAATAGGAATTTATTGAAAACAGGCTTTGGCAAAGCCTTAGTAAGAATGTCTGCAACTTGTTCTTCTGAAGGAATGTATGAAAGTGTGGTTGTCTTTTTGTTAACTTGATCAGCAATAAAATGCCTATCAATCTCAACATGCTTTGTCCGATCATGTTGAACTGGGTTCTTGGCAATTTGAATAGCAGATTGATTATCACACAAAATTTCAAAGTGATCCTCTTGATTAGTGACAAGTTCTTTCAGGAGTTTAAGTAGCCAAATTCCTTCGCATATTCCCAATGCTAGTGCTCTAAATTCAGCTTCAGCACTACTTCTTGAAACGACAGATTGTTTCTTACTTCTCCAAGTTGTAAGGTTTCCCCAAACAAAGGTGCAGTAGCCACTAGTGGATCTCCTTTCAGTAAGGTCTCCGGCCCAACTAGAATTTGTAAAGATCTTAACAGTTCTATCTTGTGTCTTCTTAAACATTAAACCGTGTCCTGGAGTTTTCTTCAAGTACTTGAGAATTCTATTTGCTGCTGCCATATGCTCTTCAGTAGGATTAGTCATGTGTTGACTTATCACATTTACAGGAAATGCTATATCTGGCCTTGTCAAGGATAAATAAATTAGTTTCCCAACTAATCTTTGAAATTTCTCTTTGTCTACCAAGGACCCATCTTCTTTGTTAAATTTCAAGCTTGCCTCCATTGGTGTATCAATCGGCTTACAACCAATAAAACCAGTTTCTTTGAGTAAATCAAGTACATATTTTTTTTGGTTGATCACAAGTCCTTCTTTTGACCTTGCCACCTTCATTCCTAGGAAATACCTTAGCTTTCCCAAGTCCTTGGTTTCGAATTCCTTATTTAACAACTTCTTCAAATTGCAAATCTCTTCTTCATCATCTCCGGTAAGAATTATGTCGTCCACATACACAATAAGGATAACTTTCTTATTTGTAGAAGTTACCTTGATGAAAAGAGTGTGATCGGCGAGGGATTGCTTGTAGCCGTTTTTTAGGATGACTTTAGTGAACCTCTCGAACCAAGCTCTGGGCGATTGTTTTAACCCGTATAGAGACTTGTTGAGCTTGCACACCTTGTTACTTCCTTCAACAGACTTTAAGCCAGGTGGCAACTTCATATACACTTCTTTTTCTAGCTTGCCATTAAGAAAAACATTTTTTACATCAAGTTGGTGTAATTTCCAATCACAATTTACAGCCAAACTTAGGAGTACTCGAACAGTATTCAGCTTCGCCACAGGTGCAAAAGTTTCTGTGAAATCTATCCCATATGTTTGTGTAAAGCCTCTGGCTACTAGTCTCGCTTTGTATCGTTGGATGCTACCATTTGAGTTATACTTTACAGTAAAGATCCATTTACAGCCAACAGCCTTTTTTCCTTGAGGAAGGTCCGTAACAGTCCAAGTTGCATTTTTCTCCAGTGCACAAGTTTCCTCTTCAACAACCCTTCTCCATTTTGAATCCTTTAGAGCTTCAGCTATGCTTGTGGGAACCTGTTCTTTATCCAAGTTTGCTGTAAATGCTTGAAAAGACGGCATCAATGAATTATAACCAACAAATTTTTCAATAGGATGCTTGGTGCACTGTCTAACCCCTTTTCTAATAGCAATAGGGAAGTCATCTAGAGTAGGGGAAGTGGACTTACTGATTTCTTCTTCTATTTCGGCAGCTGGACCCAAATCCAATTCTCGGCAAGCATCAGATTGCAAAACAGCCTCAGGAATATGTTTTCTTTTCCTTGTATAGAAACGAAGTTGTTTGATTGGTGTTGTTTGTGGAATATTTTGAATGGGAGTAGGTGCATTTTCAGGAAGGGTATTTAAAGTGGGTATGGGTGAAGTAGTGATAGGTACTACCGGTGGATCAATGGGAGTAGTTACAGGTGACAAATCTGTAGGTAAGGACAAAATTGGTGGCAATTCTGAAGGTTGAGAATGAAGAGTAGGAGGAGATACCTGATGTAGCTGAAAATCCTTCCATGTCTCCCCCTGAATTTCAGCCTGAGTGAAATAGGGATCCTGCTCATAAAATGTTATATCCATAGTGGTAAAAAATCGTTTTGAAGGAGGATGATAGCATTTATAACCCTTCTTAAGTGAAGAATACCCAACCAGTACACACTTTAATGATCTAAGATCTAACTTGGACTTATTAGGAGCAATGTTTTGGATAAAAACAGTACAACCAAATATTTTAAGTGGAAGAATGGGGGAGATAGGTTTAAAATGGGGAAAGTATTGCAAAAATATAGATTGAGGTGTTTGAAATTGTAAAACCTTACTAGGCATTCGATTGATTAAATATGTGGCAGTTAATAAGGCTTCCCCCCACAAATATTTTGGAACATTAGTGGTAAATAGAAGAGAACGAGTAACTTCAAGGAGGTGTCTATTTTTTCTTTCGACAATACCGTTTTGTTGTGGGGTGTCAACACAAGAACTAATCTGAACTATGCCCTTTTCCCTGAAAAACACACCCAAAGACTTAGCAAAAAATTCATTGCCATTATCAGATTTAAAGAGCTGAATTTTAGACCCAAATTGAGTGAGAACCATGTTATAAAATTGGGTAAAAATACCTGCAGTTCAGATTTATCTTTTAGCAAATAAGTCCAAGTTATCCTACTGTGATCATCAATGAAAGTGATAAACCACTTACAATTATCAGCATTCTTCACCCGAGAGGGACCCCAAATATCACTGTGGATCAAAGCAAAAGGGTGAGAAGGCTTATATGTAGAAGGAGAATAAGTTGATTTAGCGTGTTTGGCAAGAGAGCAAACTTTGCAAGAAAAAGAATTTGGCCTTTTATGAATGAATAGAGCAGAAAAAACTTTTGCAAGATAGTGAAAACTAGGATGACCTAAACGATAGTGCCATAACATAACATTATCAACTTTTTCTAAAGCGGTGAAAGATTTCGAGATTTCGGTTTTAGTAGAGGCAGGAAGAATGTAGAGATCATTCTGCAAGCTGGCCTTACCAATCATCTTCTTCGAGTTCAGTGCCTGCAAAGTACAATCAATATCATTAAAAATTGCATAGCAGTGCAAGTCGGTGGAAAGTTTACTAACAGAAACGAGATTGCAAGCCAGATTTGGTACGAAAAGGACATTTTCAAGTACAATCTGGTCATTGAGAATAACAGTGCCATGTCCTTCTATTTTGCACAAAGAACCATCAGCCGTTTTGACAGCTTTACCAAAGTTTGGAAAAAAATTACAAAACAGATCCTTATTACCAGTCATATGATCCGTAGCACCAGAATCGAGGATCCAATTAGGGGACGACTGGAAGGAGAAAAAAACTGTAGCATGAGGTTTACCTTCTAGTTTTTTCATGACCAGATTACCTTCTGATTGAGCAGCAGAACCAGAAAAATTTTCTGGATTTGAAGTGATCTCTGGAGTAGGAGAAGAAGTTTTGGACATCATCTAGGTTGGAAAGAAACCGTAACCTAAGCTGATACCATGTAGAAATTAGAGTAATTCTCTGTAATTTCTTATTCTTTTCAATATGACAGATTACATATTTATATACAAAATCTCTCTCTAAAGTAGGAAACTCTAAGAAAGGAAAAATAATAATCCTAGGATATGATCCCTTAAAATAAGGGATTGTAGAAATCTATTTACAAAATCATATCTCTATAGGAATGGTAACAAATCATATCTCTATAGGAATGGTAACAAATCATCTCTATAATTCCTACAATTCCTTTCTAATGATTCATTGCCAAAAGTTATCTTGTCTCAGATACTGTTCAGTCATCAGTCATTTTGCTTTTTGTAACTCCTCTGGATTATTTTAATGTGCAATTGGCATATCGGTTCACCATGATCTAGTTTTTCCTCTGATATCAAAGAATCCTACTGGATATAGATCCGATCTTTGCGACCCTTGCAATAGCCCTCATTTGATGCTAAAAAGCAATTTGCATATTTGATTTGATGGTTAACATGTTAGTAATCTCAACCTTTTCTGAGATGGGTGTTTTAGCGTAATACTAGATTAGTAATCTCAACCTTTTCTGAGATGGGTGTTTTAGCGTAATACTAGATCTAGTACCTCCTTTTCTAGATAATTATGTTGCAAAAAAGAAAGCTGTATTATTGAGTTTGAGCGACTAGTTTCCTCTTGTTTTGATAGATGGCATGACAGCATTAATTCTAATCATTATAAGAATATGGGATGTAGTAGTGGCCTTCTACGATATGTGATCAGTTTTCTGTAAACTGTTATTTCTTTCCCAACTGCATGATCATTTGTTTATAGAAACTCTTCTCCCTATGTGGTTTCAATCATGTTGTTCCCCGACACCTTCCTGTGGTTATTGATGTTTGAAAGAAAATATTGCATATAAAGCGGTTTAAGACCCTTAGCTTTATTCAGTGTCTATACAGTAATGACTTGGCACTACATGCTGTGCAATTACTTTTACTTTATTTTAGAAAATAAGATAGGATTTAGATTGTTGACGCTAGTACTAGTATTTAACTTGAATTTTCCAATTTTCCAATTTCTCATTTTCATTTTGTTGTTGTTGTTGTTATTTGAAAATAAACTTGTATTTCACCTTTCCTATTCTTATTCTATTCCACTGCCCCACACAGTGTTCTGTTAATTTTGTAATTTGTAACAAGTTCTATATGTTCTCAAACATTTCTGTCTTTGCAGAAGGACGTAAAGAAGATGTATAAAAAACTAAAAACCATTGAGCTGCAGAATAAAGAGAGTTCTATGTTATGTTGTCTTTGTGGTGGACTTTTGCATTCCTTCAAGGTACTAAAAAATGAAACGGAAAGTGTTGAGCGTAAAGCCAACAGTGATGGGCTGCAACCAAGTCAAACAGATAAGGTTGAAAATCCTCGAATAAGTAGAATCTAAAATTTTTTATTAAAGGGTTATGGTAATTGTGTATAATTTTTGTATATTCCTTTTTGGCAGTTTGTTTCCAAAAGTTAACTTGTTTCAGTGATTGCTCAGTCATCAATGTCGTTTTGCTTTTATATCTCTGGACTAATTTTATGTGCTATAAACATCATCAGTTTACTGTGATCTAGTGCAGATCTGATCTTTGCCACCCGATCAATGCTGTCATTTGGTTCTAAAAAGCATTTTGCATGCCCATTGAAGGGTTACATTACATGTTATTAATCTCATTCTGAATTTGAGCAAGTTGGTTTATGCTGTTTGAATTTATGCCAGCATTTACTGTAGTCGATAATTCTAACTATTGTAAATATGTCAAATATAGTGGCTGCCTTCTACATCATCTTAACACTTATTTTTAAAACTGTTATTGCCTTCCCAACTTCATGGTCAGTTTCTTTATTTCTCTGGGATACCCTCTCCCTATGTGGTTTGATCTTATCATTCCCTTTGCTAGCATGTGGCAGATGGTTTTTGAAATCAAATATTGATCTCTAAATTTTAAACCTTTGATTGAAATGGCCATCTGATATCCTATGTTATTTTGGTCTTTGATACAGGAACGTTCGGCTGCTTTTGTTTTCTTCAGGACTCGTTATGATGCTGTTGTTGCTGCGCAAGTTCTTCAATCATCAAATCCCATGTTATGGGTGACACAACTAGCCCCAGAACCAAACGATGTTTATTGGTCAAACCTCTCCATACCCTACAAGCAAGTTTGGCTCCGTAGAATAGCAACTCTTCTAGGTGCTATTGTTTTTATGTTTCTGTTCCTTGTTCCTGTTACATTTGTACAAGGCTTGACTCAACTAGACCAGTTAAGACAAACATTTCCATTTCTTAGAGGAATTTTGAAACAGTAAGTATCATTCTGCTAACTAAATCGCTAAAATTGTGTTTAGCTGTTAGTTTTTGTTATGTTGCTATCATTACACATTGCAGTTGTGGCTGATGCCTGATGCAACAAAATAGAATATGGAATTTGCAGCATGTTAGAATATATGCATTTATATGAAAACAACGCATGGAAAGAACCATACTTGCTAAACCCATTTGTACAGCTATATCTGCCATTCTAAGCTTTTATGTGATCATTTGTTTTTATTTTATATGGACTTCCTCAAGGAAACCAGAATCCAGGAATAGACTGTGTTATCTTGTTTTTGGAAAATAGTCTTGGAATTTCATGTGCACTGGGATGATATGAACATTATTCATGAATATTTTGAAAATGTTGTGGCATATACTGAGAACAGACCCAGAGTGAAGGCTCTGACAAGACGATCTCAATGTATAAATAAGAACATAGATGTAAATCGAAGAATAAATAGATCATCAGGTCCTTGGCTTTCTGTTTCTTGTTTAATCTGCTGCAATATTTTTGTTTCTGACAACTGATGTATGTATAAATGCAATATGTATTGCAGATAAATTTTTTGTTTCTTATTGTGGAGGAAATTTCCTATTGATTCCTTCCAGTGTTAACAAACATTATACCAAATAACAAATTATTTCATGTTCTTGTTAAAAATTTTGGGTTTTAACTGGTTATATATATATATATATATATTATGAACAATTGAGCTAAGAATTATTCAGGAGCTAGTACAGCTAATTTCTAATTGACCAACTTACAGAAGTAATTTGTTTTATTTTATACATCATAATTTTCTGTTTCTTGGCTATTAGTGGAGAATAAATTTGACTTATTGTGAACCCGTCCTGTTTGTTTGCAGGAAGTTCATGAACCAGCTTGTAACAGGTTACTTACCAAGTGTAATTCTGATGCTATTTATGTATGCTGTTCCACCGACCATGATGTTGTTTTCAACAATTGAGGGAGTTGTTTCACGTAGTGAGAGGAAAAAAAGTGCATGCATCAAGGTCCTGTACTTCACAATCTGGAATGTTTTCTTCGTTAATGTTCTTTCTGGATCCATAATTAGACAATTGAGTGTTTTCTCAAGTGTTAAAGATATACCTACACAACTTGCCAAAGCAGTGCCAACCCAGGTAACTTTCCACGCCACTCCATAATATCTGGTTTAATAGAACCTCGATTCTTCCAACTTCATGGCAGAGTTTCAGATGCATTTAGATTTGGATTTTATCTTGGTCTGCAAGAGATGCATCATATACTATTTTTTATATGAATCTAAGTTATACTTTTGAAACTATTATCTTTCATTAGTTCTAAAAGTGCGAGCCAACTTCTAGTTTTAACAAGCCTGCATAGCAATACCTTTCTCTGGGTTTTCTATGGGATCTTAATCTTCAGTATTTTTTCTAACTCGTTCTTATCTTCTTGAGTAAATGCAGGCTACCTTCTTTACGACTTATGTTTTAACATCAGGCTGGGCAAGCTTGTCCTGTGAAGTAATACAACTTTTTCCTTTTCTTTGCAATTGGTTCAAAAAATTCATACCAAGAACGCAGGAAGAGCCATGCAGTAGTTCTGCTCTAACCTTCCCTCACCATACTGAAATCCCACGCCTTCTTCTGTTTGGACTGCTTGGCTTCACTTGTTCTATCATGGCACCCTTAATATTGCCCTTCTTGCTGGTTTACTTCTTTCTTTCTTTCCTTGTCTACCGGAACCAGGTGTGTATTCTGCCAATTTTGTGCCTTTCTTTTGTTAATCAAATAATAGTGCATTTTGTTTGTATTTGTTCGGTTTGTGCCGACATTGTTTCTCGGTATGTTGTCTTTGCTTTATTGAGTGAACCTTGTTCATTCACACTAATAAAACCAAGCCAAGAGAATAGGACTTCTAGATTAGAAATTGTTAAACATATCCAGATTTTGGATATTTAGATGCTTTCATTTGAGTGATCAGCCAAATCCCCCTTAGTGAGAGCCAATTCATGGAAGTATATTCCCATGCTTGACAACCTACATGTCAACCTTGTTTATAAAACAGTTGTTTATCAGTAACTCTGGCAAAGCTTATTTATGCAATTACATTCTACGCTTCTATGTCCTCGGTATTATAGAATATGTTAATATGTTTTTAATACTTGAAAGTACTGAGTAACGTAATCTTCCATTTATATTACAAGGTCTTCACGGTGTGTATTTTTATGTTGCATGATGATATTATGCAATTAAGTGCAAGAGAGATCAGAAGAATTCAATCTCTACCCATTCTTTGATCATGTCTTTTTCCTTTCTTTCCCAGATTCTTAACGTATATGTACCAGAATATGAAAGTGGGGGACTGTTTTGGCCTATCGTTCACAACACAACGATCTTCTCTTTAGTGTTGACCCAAGTTATCGCCCTTGGGGTCTTTGGTATAAAAAGATCACCGGTTGCTTCCGGTTTCATCATTCCTCTAATATTTCTAACTCTCCTGTTCAATGAGTACTGTAGGCAGAGGTTTTCCCCTGTTTTCAAGAGAAGTCCTGCACAGGTAAGAATCAGAACTCTCTCTCACTCTCGCTCTCAGACTCTAACCATCTTTTCGGTGTGATGGATCGGCTGTTCAGGTTCTTATAGAAAAGGATAGACAAGAAGAGAATTTGGGTAGGGGAGAAGAGATTTATAAGCTGTTACGTACATCATATTGCCAGTTCCCATTACTTTGTCCAGACTTGTCCATTTCTCAGGACCCTTCCACATCTCAGGACTCTATGCCTGGAAACAGCGGGCAGAAGAAAGATCACGAGAGTTCCAAAGATCCCGAGTCTCCTAATCCAGGTATGATTCTAGTGCTAACTGGTTCTCGACTTCTTTCCCTCTAGAATCAATCCATAATTGCTTGAATCTATACCTTTAGACTTTCAGGAAATCAGCTTGTTAAGTTAAATGAATAGAAGGATGTTTATCGCATTTCGGACAGGAAAGGCTTCGCATACAAACCAAATTGGTTCATAGAAGCCATTCCATTTAGAGGCTATGTTAATGGTGGCTATGGGATGTCAAAAACAACAAATGAATTTTTCATTTTAATTCTCATCCTTAATGGGGCATAGATGAATAGAGAAAAAATCCCTTGATATGTATACTCAAAACATTCTACAGTTTCAAAGGAAGAAAGTGTTAATATCTTGTTTGATTGAGATGTTGGACGAACATTCCCTTTTGTACAATAAATGTTTTTTTCTTTTCTACTTTAGTTGGCCATGATGGGTTAATTCCTTGAGCAAATAACAGGTGAGTATTCGATTAGTTCGAGTTCCGAGCTAATCAAATTGACACAAAAAAATTATTATAGATAAAGGAATTGACACGCAAATGACACTGTTATCCATTCGAGTACACATCATACTTGATCCATCCTAGTATGTTAACCAGCTTGCAATCTTGAAAAGTTTTTAGTTTAGTCCCGAATTTCCTCAAATCTATCAAATATAATACTCCTTGTCCAATTAAACTTGTAAGTCGAGTAGGGGGTGTTACATGCTCAATTGAGTTTTCTTGCTGATTTTTTTTAATTTCTCAGATGGGATAAGGTTTGCTGAGAGTCACCCAATTCCTATGACAAACTACTGAATTTCTTCAGCAGCATCCAACATCATACATAGATCAACTAAGAAAGACTCGAAGAACTAAAATCATCTATTACACATAATATCAAGCATTTAGTCATGGAAAATGTTTGGGTAGAGGCATTAGAAACACATAACATTGCATATTTTGTTGCATATATCATCCAAGAGAAAGTATAAGCAATGGCTATTGGGAATTTATCATCTTCCATAGGCTATCACAAGCAGTCATATTTGATGGGTCAAATTCAAACTTCTTAACCACCTTTTTATCTCTACCCACTACATCTGTGATAAATTTAAATCAAGGAGAATGTCATAAAGCAAATAAAAACAACTTTGAATATGAAAAAGGAAACTCATAATTGGCAAATGAAAAAAGATGAAGGGAAAAATAATATTTTATCAGAAGGATACGGCCTGAGATTTTGGATTGGTCTTTCAAGTCTGGAATAATATTAGTTATAGATGCATACATCGAAAGCTTTCTCCTGCAAGATAAAAGAATAATTATTTCTGAAATCTGGACATTAACTCAACAAAAGACAAAAAAGAATAGTAGCCATTACAACACTTTTTTGGGATGAAAAAAAATCATAGGATTGATAGTTCAGCTCGTCAAAAAGAAATAGGGAGACTAAAACTTTATGACTCGTTAAGGGGAGAGAGAGAGAGAGAGAGCTAGATCTTAGTAGAGCTTTCATATAAATTCCGCTTCCATTTCATGTCCCTTTAAATAAGGACCGGTCCTATTACATAAAAGAGGAAATCTATTTTTAAAAGGAAAATAAATCAGTTAAAACAAAAGCATAATAAAATAAAATAAAAAACCTATCGAGTGGTTTGAGTGATAAAAACCACGCCTCAATCAAACATCACCAATCCCATTTGCATTAATCCAGGCTGGATCTTTTTAAGGAAAAACACCTACATTACCACCAAGAAGCATATATATGGACATCAAGGTTTAGAAATTCAAGTCAAGAACTTTCTCTTATTTTTCTAAGATACATTCATGCAAAGAACAGTTAACAGTATAAGAACAACCAAACATGAATTGGTACAGAAATAGGAGTTACTGAACTGAACTTACTGTTCTTTGAGTTTGTCTTGCTCAAATTTCCTTAGCTTTTTCTTCTGTTCTTCGATCGAACCCCTCTGACGCTCCAGCTCCATTATCTCATTGCAAATAGCCGTGTTCATATAAAAGAAGATTTAAGAGACAAATAAATAAAACACCATAAAACCGAAGCCTTACGAATCATCTATAGAAAAACGACCACAAATGCATAGACTTATCTAAACTCCTCCTTAAGTTGACTTTCTTTTTCAAATTCCTCTTGGAATTCCTTCTGCAGATAATCCATTTCAGCACCATCGACAACTTCAGACTTCGCCTTCTCTGTTTTCTTCTTGCAAGCTTCGATCATTGCTTCATATTATGCGTTTTAAAAAAAGAAGGAAAAATATCTTCCTGCACTTTCATTCCTTTGCTCTTAATTTCTGCGGAAACGAAGAGAAGTAGAAAAGGAAAGAGACCTTGAAGCAATCGATGAACCTCTTTGGAATCAGAGTCGCAATGCGAGCGGAGATCGTTAAAGTGCTGGAAACACTGTGTTACGTTGGTAATGTCCCTTCTGTCCTTCAACACCTCCATCAGATCGTCACTATAAGATATCAACTTCTCCACATCGATCATTCTCGTGGATTTCCCCATTTTTCTGGGGTTTCTATTTCTTCAACTTCGAGCGCCAAAAAGAGAGACAAATTAAGGCAAAAGAGAGTTATGCAAACGTTTTAGAGAAGAAAAAAGGAAATGATTTTGGAACAAGAAATCGAAATATAACAAGGGAAACAAAAAGAGGCGGTCAGCAGTGAGAAAGTCCTGGCGAGAGGGAAAAGTAGGAAAATATATCTTTCAAATTCTTTTGGTTAAATTATAGTGAAGGTCATTTTTTGGATTTCTTCTGGTTTTGATCACTTAACTTTTAATTATTATATTTTAATCACTTATATTATCAATTAATTACAATTTAATCACTAAGTAATTAATTAACTCTCATTACGATGTGTCATGTTAACAAAAATGATTATATTTTAACATGTCTCTTAGATTTTATATAAAATATCAATTTAGACATTATTCAACGAAAAAGAAAAAAACTCTCTATTAGTCTTAAACTTTTATTTTATTTATTCATCACATTCTTTCAATAAACCCTAAAAACTCAAATCTCTCCTTAGTTCATTATCATCACTCATTGTGGATGTCGTTCCGACCACCTTCCCATATTTTATTTAGACATTCTTGAAGCAATCGATGAACCTTTAAGATATCATAAGAATTATTTTGACTGTTGTCTAATGCACTTTAGTCGGTTGTTGCACATGATAAAAGTGATGTTAAGCCTAGTGTACAGCCGCTGCAGGACTTAGTGGATGCTGGTGTGGTGGAGGGTTAGGCTGGTTATCGAGAGCGACACTTCTAATGTCCTTGCTCAATTGCTCCATCGTCGCCTCGATCTGTCTATTGTCGGGTTTCACTACATGATGCTCGCCTGCTCCTAGAGGCTCATCGCTATATTCAGGTTCTTCCCGCTCGTCGAGCTGCCCATTCACTTGCTCACTGGGCTGTCGGCCGATCTACGCCGCTGTTTTTCGTCTATGATGTTCCTGCTTTTATTACTTCTACTGTAATGGACTCAATTTCTAGTTAATGCAATGGCCAGTTTATTTTCAAAAATAAAATATCATGTAATGGAAAAAATAATAATTCAAAAATTAATTTTATAAATTTTGAATTATTATTCATTTAATTAAGTTTAGAGTAGAATAATAAATTATTAGATTTTAATTGAAATAATTTGTAAAACTAACAGAAAAAAAAAGGTAGAGCTACTCATAAAAAATAGATGAGATCCCAATTAAGTACATCTAATCATTTCTTTTAATGCACTATATGTGTATACATAGCAAAAGCAAACCTCGATTATTTACATCTCCATTCTGCAGAATCCACTACAGTTGATGAAAGCAATTTCTTCTGCTTTGCTCTTGCTTTTGGTTGTATAATATTGTTTGGCCTTTCCCTGATTGGATTTCTTACGCTACAAAGCTTGTGCTTCATCCGCCATGGCAACAACATTTCAAGCCCACAACGCTTTGGGGAAGAAGACAGTGATGATCGTTTTATTACTGCTTGGGAAACACATGGCGACTGATCCGAATAATTGTAGAGGTAGGGAAGCTTTGTTTTGGACATGCTTAGAGCAGATGATGCAGCCAATGCTATGGCGTCTGGAAGAAATCGTTCGATTATGAAACTTGGAGATGGACAATCACTGTGCTCTAAACTCATTGCTAAGTTCATGCCATCCATTTCACTAGGCTCTAAGCTCTTTGATGATCCATGCAACTTTTCTGTTTTCTCAACAATGTCTATTGCTTCCGTTAGTGACAAGACTTCCACAGCATCCGAGAATATATCGTCGCTGTTATCGTAGTCATCCACATCGGCATCGCAGCCTTCATCATGGTGATCATGACTGTGATCATGATCCCCATTAGTTGCCTCTTTTGGTGGACGCCATCTTCCCGGTGGGGGTTTTGGACGAGGCGTTTCAGATTCATCGACGTCGTTACTTCTCTCCGAGTTCTTCGGCTTTCCGGGAGCCTGTTCCCAGCAGAACGGAATCCCGTTACTCGAATCTTTGCATCCCACAAGGGAATTGTTGCAAGAAACTTCATCACTAACGTATCCACCAGCAGCAGGTCGCCTTGTCGATAAGAGTGGTGCGTTTAAGTTGAGCTTTCTGGGGCGTTTCCTTGCTTCATTCATTCCTTCATCCATAAAGATAAATATGGTTTCTGGAATTGAAAGATTCATTGGAGTTGATGGGAAAAAAGGGAATAGGTGATGCATATGAAAGAAGAGATGATAAAGGAGTGGTTGAAATAATTGTGAAGCAACTGAAACTATGGGGATCTCGTGCAATGTATTAAAACCGATATTTTTCACTTTATAAGGATCACAGGTTGGATGGGAAAAGGCCATTACACTTCTATGGTGAATTCTAAAGTGAAGTTAACATTTGCTGGAAGCCTGGAATCATCCAAACACCATGTGGCAACGACTAAAGTTCGTAGCTATGGCAAGAGAGTACACATTTCCTTTTATGATCCCTTTGATGTTGATAGTTTAGTTGCTACTGGACTACTTATACGGGTGAAAAATAAAGAATGAAAAATGTTTCCCCCCCTCTTTTTTGGTACATAGAATGAAAATTATTTAATGGCAAAATTAACTTGGAACGATTGTACAAATAGTCATTTTAGTCCCTATTCTTTTTTCTTTTAATATTTTATCTCCAAACGTTTCAATTTTGATCAAAATAACCTTTATTAAATGAAAACCGATAGTTGACTGTCAACGCATGTTATTGACGTGACATTTTCACACATGCTTAATTAGTAATTTGACACGTCATGTCATCATTTTGGTGACGTGACATACAACTTGTCAACTTTTTGACACATGTGGAAGTACCACATCAACATGTATTGACAGTTAGTAAACTAACGATTTCCATCCAACATGAGTTATTTTGATAAAAAATAGAAACGTTGAGGATTAAAATATTCTAAAAATAGAATAGAAGTCAAAGTGACCATTCGGCTAATTTGTCATTATGTCAATGGAGTATATAATATAGCAAGTTTGTATCAAACAGAACAAATAGACAAATAGCATGGATATCAAATATATAACTGTAGACTGTTTGAGAATGAACCTCTTTTCAAGGAGAAAATTTCAAGCTTGAAAAACAATAACATTCGGGATGAGAAGAGTTAAAATACCTAAGGCATTGGCAAAAAGAACAGTAACACAGTGTAAAATCTCCAGACTGGATTGGTTTCTGCGGTTTCATTTACATAGTTCTTTTGAGTGTTGCATTGGCAAAGGCCCCTTCAAGAGTAATACAAAGTGCAGCACGCAGTAGCAGCATCAGTGTGCCTGGACGTTTTACATATATATGGGTCCAATCCTTAATACAGAAAAAATATTTACAAGCTACCTTGTTCATTAATTTTCCCCTTTCTCTTTTTCTATCACACCAAACACTATCCTTTTTCTCTCCTCCTAGGTTCCATATCTTCATGGCAGTGCTTCTGAATTTCCCAGGGACCTATCCAACAATTACGGTGTCCCTTCTTCGTAATCAAACAAAAATACTCGAAAGAAAAAGGGTGGCAAAGATCAGGTTGCCTATAGGTCTACGAGAGAGGAGATGACTATGAGGATTCAGGTTGCCTAGAGGTCTACGAGAGAGGAGATGACTATGAGGATTCTGACTTTCTCACTTTTTTTTCTTTAACCAGCTCACAAACTTTATTATATAGATCGAGAGTATCAGCATGGTTGGGATCAAGACATAGGGCTGCTTCACAGTCTCTAACAGCGGACATATAATCACCCATTGAGTCATGGAAAGCAGCTCGAAGATGTAGTAGCTGCAGGTCTGGCTTGAAAGCTAGTGGTTTGGTGAGCTCTACAATTGCTTCATTTTCTTTGTGATCATCCATTCGAACTGGAAAGACAGAAATTTCATGTTAGAGACTTAAAAAAGCAAGCCCCATATGCAAATATGGCCTCGGTATTCAGGAATGAGAACAAATAACAAGCAACTATTGTACTCTAAACTTGAATTGCATATGGGCGATAGTTGCTTTTTTTTTCTATTCAATAATTTGATGGCCTCAGTATGCAATAAAGAGAACAAGTTATATGAAAGCTAGTCCCAAATGAGAACAAGATTTCTGTTAAATTATATCAATATAAATGTTATCTGTCATCATCTATCCTTTAATATGGCCTCGGTATTCAGGAATGAGAACAAATAACAAGAAATTATTGAATAAAAAGAAATATGGCCTCGGCATTCAGTATTCGGGATTGAAAAAAGCTAGTCCAATATGTAGTAATAAAAATTTTCCTTGTGTTAAATACTTATATAGCCAAGTGTAGCATAAAAGCGTGTCACAGGGCATTGCAATTCTGCAATGCCTAATCAAAATCAAGGCCGAATGCAGCAATTTACAAAGTTGTTAGGGAAAAATAGCCACAGCCGTGGCCAAGGAATTTACCTGCTGCTCTGTATCTGTATGGATATGTCCTCAAGGGATCTAATTGTGTAGCCATAGCAAGATCACTCTTTGCCATGTCCCGGTCAGAATATTCTGAACGCTTCTCATAAGCTGAAGCATTGTTGCATGCCTTCTCTATCAGCTTAGTCATCTCATCATATGCAGCTTTACGCTGATTTTTGAGATGAAATACACGTGCTAGACCCTGATGTGCCCGTGTATGCTTAATGTTCAGTGCATTCATGTAACAGTCAGCAGCAAGATCTAGCTTTTCACAGTCCACATACACACTACCTAAATTATTCAGTGCCTGCAGAAATATGAAATCACTCAGAACCCAAAACCAATTCATTGTACTTATAGAGCTTGGTTTTTTTCAGAACTATATAGCAAAAGTTAAAATTGCTCCAAAAGTACTCACTTGTCCTTTCCGAAGTCCATCTGAAGGGCATCTAAGAGCATCCAGAAGAAGTTGGATAACATATGCTGAGGACTCTTGATCAAGACTAGTATCTGCTAAAGCATAGGCTTTGAGGAAGAAAGCTTCAAATGATCTCTGGATGGAGATCGACTCCTCTGCTTTAGCTAGTGCTTCTTCACAGTGGCCGGTGTCATACAATATCCATCCTTCATAGACAAGCCTTTCATGTTCTGAGGTAGAATGGTTTCTAGCCAACCGTAGACTACGCATTGCAGCCTTTTGACAATTTAACCTACAGTATCCAGTAGCAGCAAACACTTAGAAGTTAGAACTGAGAATATTAAGGTGAAAAGAATATTGCATTCTGTCAATGTTTGAATTAAACTAGAGTAGAAAGAAGTTATATGCCTCATTTATCCAGATCAATGCCATTGAGAAACAACCTCAAGTGCCATAGTTAGGAATTGCAAGTTCAATGACTATGATTGCAACTGACATGTACAACACATTTGATACACTAGAGTTAACATGTCAAATACAAGTTAATTTATTTTTTTGATAGGAACAAGTTAATTTATTTAATAGTAATTACCCATAAGTTATAACTAAGAGAAGACTTGTTAACCTCAAAAAATAAACCGAGCTAATACTAGGAAAAAAATGAGGAATGGAATTCAAACATTTACTATAGAATATTTTTTAGGCCAAGGACCATTATGAAAATCATGGAATGGGGGTTGCTTTACTTTACATCTCCTAATAGTGGTAATTAGGCTGCATATAGTGATGAATCAAATTTCCAATAACATACCATATGGTATCATCTTGACGGCAAGATACCTACATCTCAAAATAATACAGAAAAAAACATCGCTTGGCTTATCATAAGTTCATAGTGTTAATCTTAGATCCAGTTCGAAAAGGAAAATGAACAGTAATTTATACAAGGGCATAAAGTAGTTCATCTTCACTAAAAAGCAATAATGCAGTTCTTCCATTGAGTTAAAAACAAATTTTAATCTATTAGAACAAATCTATAAAGAAATTTCCATTCAACAGAGAAAAGGACATTTTATTCAACCAGTGAAAGAGTTTGTTACGTTACCTTAAAAGGAGGAGAGATTGCCTGAACCATAGAAGGCTTTTTCCAGGGTCATTTGCCATCATATGGTGTACAACAGCTAGGGAACCAAGATCATCGACAGAAGACCAGCGGTCGTACAATTGCATCCAGCAATCAGCCTGACTCCACTGTTGAACAAAAGGACGTAGGAGCTCCACCAAGTGGTCACCATGCATTTTCCCATAAAACATCATGTAATTTGGTTCCAGAGTCAAAAGTGCCCGAACATCTCTAAGAGCTCTTTCATAGTCCTCCATGGCAATCGAAATCCAGGCACGTAACTCAAGGCAGTCAGGGGATACCTTGAAACTGATTATTTTACTAATTTCTGAGATGGCTGCTCCAATCTTGTTGTTCTCCAACAGTGAAACAGCTCGATACTTGTATGGAAAAGAAAGTGTTGGATCCAGTTCTGTAGCCATCTCTAGATCCAACATCTTCTCCTTCCCATCACAATACAGAGAACGCTCTAGATGCATCCACCCAACTAGCTTATATTCTGAGAAGAGTGAGTTAATAATCTTGTAAGCTGAATACCTGTGGCCCCGCTTGAACTTGGCTCTTGCTACACCCACTTTTGAATATATATGACCAGACTCACAAGCTGTCTCAAACCAACTTTGAGCATCTTTGTACTCTTTTCTCTCAAACATCACAACACCTAACTGGTGATACGCAAGTTGTTTCTGCCAACTTTCCATTGCGCACTCTGCCAAACTCTCTATAAGCATCACAGTAGTGTTAGCTTTCATATCTTCATCCATTGCAATTTGGCTCAAGAAGAAATATAACAAAAACGAAGCATGCCCAACTAGAGCCAATCTTTCCTTTGCATCCGGACAACAAAAATATTTCATCACATTAGGACTATGCATTGAATTTGGGAGCTCCCTTAAAAAGACCTGCAAGCAAGCTGCCACAAGAAGATACGCATTTTACTCCAATCCATACTCAATTAAAGACAGTGCATCCTCCATATCATTTATCAAAGATGCTAAATAAGAATCACAAGCAGACTTCAAATTGTCACAACAAAATCTATTTGAGAAAGAAAGAAGCTCCAAAATAATCCGTGGACCAAAAGAATCTAATCTTTTGGTCCTGCTATATAATTCAGCAGCTTTCATACACTCTACTGAAATATTGTTATGGGTAAAATTTATCTTCTCTCTTTTAGACTCCCTGAAACCACCATACA